TTTATATGTATGCAATCTGCGCGACTTGCGCGTCCACATCTCCACGTGCAGTGCTGCATAAACATGGCTGAGTCAGCGATAACTCTCGAGGGGTTAAGGTATGCCCATTATTTTGAGTTCGTCCGAAGAATAGACAGGAATGTGACGGTGAGGTGCAAACTGTGTCCAGGCCAGAAGCTGTTATCCACTGCTGGAAACACCACGTGGTCAAACCTCAACACACACCTGCAAAGAACACATGCTAAGGTGAAGCTACCGTACAAGCTATTTGTTGTTTGTTTATATCACGCAGTCTTTTCTTCTTCTGTCTTCCGGTTGTTGCCTGTTTTGAATGACGAATACACACTACCGCCGCCTGCTGGTAAGGAAAGTTATTGCCACTCACGCATGTGCAGTTCGTACGTGCTCGGCGAGTAAAATAACGAGTTACTTTATGTAGATAGTAACGAAGTAGTGTAATATATTACATTTTTTTTTAGTAACGACCCCATCTCTGGAGTTGGCGTTCTCTACTCTGATTTACATGAAGAACAACAGGAGGTCACGGCTCTCTGTTGAACAGGACTTGCGAGTGGCCCTCTCCTCAGTGCCACCAAGGATTAAAACATTCTGCGCGCCCCGACAGGCACATGTATCTCACTAATTTGTAAGTCGGCAAAATATTTACAATAGCACATGTTTCAATGCTGATTGCTGAAATGTTACATTTATAATTTGTAGTTCAGGACCATGGACAATGCAGCTTCCTTGCATTGACAGTTCTCTGTGCTGAATTTCTGCTGAGTTTCCTTTGCCTCATTTTGAATGTTGTGACCTGTCTGGTTTAAATGAGTGTGTTGCTGCTTTGATGAAGCCTAATTTGATACAGTTTCAAATTAATTTCTGAAATATTTCGTTAATAAATATTTCATGAGTAATATAGTTGTCTTTGTCACATTTTATTTGGCATTAGTAAATAATTATGCACATTTACAGATATTTCACATGATATGAGTGATAACACGTGTTATAAGGGCTATTTTGCACAATAGGTGTGCCTTGAGATTTTTACTTGTCCTTTGGTGTAACTTGGGCACAAAAAGTTTGGGAACCACTGCTGTAGATGATAGGAAAGGAGGTTTCAAACTTCCTTTATAACCTCCTTTAGCTTAGGAACCACTGGACCTCCCTCACCGAAAGGAGAGGAGAAAGTGCTGCCCCACAATGCCTTGCAGTCGCAGCATTTGCCACAGTCGGCCGTTCACGGAAACAAACGATTATGGCAGAGAAATAATATCATGAAAGTTACGTTGCTTATTAAGCATTTTAAAACGTATGTGGTAAGTTGCCAAAGTGCTTTGTTTTGAACGTTCATCAGTATTATAATCAAAAAGAGAAATATGAACGTTAGTTTTTACTGAAATGATCAAATAAAGTCAACATTTCACTGTCTTTACTGAGCTGTGTGGGGTTTGTTCAACTTTTAAAAGATGTTTGAATGGTGATATACACAGTGATAGATGTTAAGGACTAACGTTTATAATAAATACATTTGTATTGATTTTAAGATATTTTCATTCAATCATACGTATTGGGACCATTTGTATTAATGTGGACCTTTTTTATTTAAATTCCAACTTTGGTCATGAAGAATATGTTTCTCTGTTGTCCACGTTCATAAAGCATAAAGCAACAGCATCAGAGCACGGTGCAGAGTCTCTAGATGAGTTTACAGTAGTCCCTCGTTCTTATTGAACATCCATGTTGTAGTCCGCTGTATAGAAAACTGTAGTTTCCATGGTTACCCCACAGCAGCAGACGCACATTCAGGACGTCCACTGGAGCATCATAAACACGACGGATAGTGAAAGTGCAGTCGGATTCTCTAAAGTACCGCAGTCTCTTCTCCTAAATCCTTTTGAATTCTCCTATCCACTATCCCTTAACGTTTCAGTAATAGACGATAGGGTTAGAACTTAGGAGCTGATTTTTGGACTATTAGACTGCAGCCCTAGTGACTTTGTGCCGAGTCACGTGTTCCTGTCTGCCCCTCCCAAAACGAGCAACATCTCTCCTCCCTGCTGCAAAGCCCTGCCTTTCTGTAACGTTCATGGACAGGTCGTTATCTGATGCATTCTTCTAGCTCGCCGGCTTACAGTAATGCCCAGCCTTATGTCTTCCAAACCCACAAAGATGGGAAAACAGTTTTTCGCATACTGTTTTATACTGTATGCTTTTATTCCTATTAAACTGGAGAGAGAGAAATGCCCAGATGTCGATACAGTATCTTTGACTGTAGTTTAAAGCGATGAAAGTTCCGTTTTAACGGCCAATTTCAACCGTTATGATTTAAACTGCGCCAACTGTTTGGACTAAAGCTACCACAATTTAGGCACATAAACAGGATTTCAACGGCAAAAAATCTAATTACCGGTAGTTTTATTATTTATATAATTGTTTTGTTCGTCAGTACTCACCATTTTTGTAGGACTTTCCGACACTGAACAATCGGTTGATAGGAGCTGCCTATATTTATGATTTTCTGAGGGAGCGGAGACACAGCGGCGGTTTAAATGTCTTTCTGGCGCGAGCAAACGCTGGGCAGAGGTGCATTCAGGCACGGCTCGAAATATTCCAACGTTAGCTGTGTCATCTAAAATAACTGTTTTTAATTTTCGTTCTATTGAACTTCCAGAAACGTTTGAATTAAGATCAGCAATTATTGTTTCATCGTCTAAAAAAGTGTATTATATATTCACCCCATGCAAAGGTTTTAGGCTTCTATTTATGTCGGGCCTGAATTGGAAAAGGCATGAAAATATCACACACACATAGAGTTGCATTATTTTGTTTCTAATCTAAACAACACACAAGCTGAACATATCCCCATAATTTATAGAATATCAAAAGCTAAAACTACAAGTTTGTTTTCATTGTATTTTGAACCTGAAAGTTACTAGAATACACACAAACAATCTTATTTGTGATCTCTTAAGTTCGGAAGGCGAATGTAGGAGAAGCACTTTAAGGCAGCATTATTCAAATAAGGAAGCAGGCTCTCTCTTTATCTCATTCAATTCAATAGCTTTATTATTATAATAATAACAATAATAATTAATTACAGTTATTAGAGCGCTCTCCCAAATGCTCAAAGCGCTTCACATTACATATTACACTTTATTAGCATTACCATAGTTACATTACATACAGTATTGCTAAAGCTCTGTGTAGTTGCCACATCTACACAAATACATACATAAGAACAAACTGCTACATTTTTAACATAAGCAAGAACTTTTTATTTTTACAAGGAACACACATTCATTCAATTCATATAATACATGAATACAAAAATAAAATATAAAAAATATGTGAGACCTGGTGTTGCAGGTCAGTCCGATTCCCTCATACTGTGGCAGGCAGAGACAAACGAATGCAGTTTTCTTTGAGTAATATCTTTAGTTTTTCATTTTCTTTTTTAAATATTCGAGGATGCTTAGGTTTTGGAAATAATTTTTTCTGTACAGGTTCAAATGTTTGGCATTGTGTGAGGAAGTGCTGCTCTGTTTCCACAGCAGTTCCTTCACACTCAGGACCGTTTCTAGCTTTTTGGGGGCCCTATGCAAGATGCTGTTTGGGAGCCCTAGTCTTTACAGTTTTTTCACTACAATGGGGGAATTCCGAAGCCTTTAAGACTTTAGCTGCTAGCGAAAATTATGCCATTTAAAAACATAAACGACCGTCAGCTAATCGAACCGGCCCTTGACGACCGGCCGTTCTGTGATTCTCCAGATTCTACAGATGGCCAGTCCACGGAGGGTGGAAAATACATACCTGAAGTAAACAAAGACGTGCAACGGGAAGGTGTTCCCACGGGAAACAAAACTTAAAATATTAAATTAATCAATCTCATCTCTTAAAATTCACAAATTATTATGAACACAAACTTATAATTATGTATTCACATTTTTAACTCTGTTACATATGCACGTAACGAACAGAAGAGCGTAGGGCAGAATTAGGAGGGAATTCCGTCTCATAGCGTTTGTGCACCGTTTTTAAATGCTCTAAATTACCCTTCTTCGGTAAAGCGGTGAATTGGAATAAACAAAAAAATAATCATCCTCCCACTCGGAGTGAAAATGATTTAGTCAACTTTGTAACAACCATGGTGTTCCCGGTCAAAAATGACCGCCATAAAGAAAAGGAATTAGTAAATATCCGGATCGGATCAGATAAAACACACACACACACACACACACACACACACACACACACACACACACACATATACTCTAGATGTGTCCCCCCCCCTTATGTGCCCACCCCCCCATGTGAATCACACCTGGCACACGCAATACATGTTCAGTGTCTATTTTCATGTATACCAGTAGTTAAAACAGGACCGGTCAAATTTGACCGCGAACACCAAAGTAAGGGGGAAACGAAGACAATAGGAGGGTTAAAAAGAAATAGTGCAAGAACAGGAATACTATATCCAAAAAGAAAGTCTAACCCCTCGAGTGGAAAGAACCAGTGATATCTTCTTATAACATTAATAATAACTTACAGACTCACAACAGGAAATATCTCTGGGCTATTACCCCCTAATCCCACCAGGAGCGTCTGCGCTGCGCTGCTGCGTTTTTAGCGATCGCGGCCACTCTAGTCAATGGGTGCTATTCCACCAGACCCGCTGAGCCACGCTGAGCCACGCTGCGCCGCGGCTCGAAGCGTCCCAGAAGCTCTTCGCCGCAAGGAATTTCTAAAATATAGGATGAATCCTATTTTGACGCAGCGCGGGCAGGAAGTGGAACGTTCATCCAACAACTGCGAGGCTGCACACACGACGCTCCGCTTCCGCAACGTTTTGAAACGCGCCTGGTGGGTTAGGACGCAGGAGGAGGTCGCAGGAGGAGGTCGCAGGAGGAGGTCGCAGCGCGTCGCGGCACAGCCGCAGCGCAGCGCAGACGCTTCCGGTGGGATCAGGGGGTTAGAATAAATCCTTATTTATATTATTTTTATGTCATGACCTGGTGGAAGAACAGCACGCTGACGATCAGGAAACCCAGGACCCACCAGTAGGAGCCTGAAGAGAGAAGATATACACAGTATGTAATGTAAAGCAACTCTCAAGACATAAAATATTTGATGATACACTTTCTGATTAAATATAGAGTGGACTACAATGCAATAATAATACATCATATTTTAATAGCGCTTTTCTAGGAATCAAAGTGGCTTTACAATATAAGGGAGGGTTGGGGTAGGACAAATAAAAATGACCATTAGTCATAAAAACACTTAAAATTCCCCAAAAAGGAGGTGTGTTATATTTGATCATATTTAAATCAAGGAAAAGTTGAATTAAACTTCTAATTGTCTCCATGTGTTTTTGCCCTACTTGTAATATTATCTGCTGTGGATTTGGAGTCACTGGGTCACATGACATTGAAGCTATTACAAAAAATACAGCTATGATCATGACACATTTATTGTATTTTTATATAATATTTTAAACTTATATTAGATAAGACAAGGTTGTTGATGCCAAATTGCTAAATTGTTTTAAATATGGGTAAGTTAACATGGAGGTTTGGAAAATGATATTGGTTTTGTGTCATTTAAACAGAAATGTACTGATGGTCAAGTGAAAAACTGTAGTTGAGAACCAGGGTGTCTTAAACCCTGCTGCTGTAAAACAAGAGGGTTTCTGAAACATTACGGCTTCTGTCAAAGTTTCTCTTGTTAACTTTAAACAACATCACAGCAACAGCCACACATTATTACCTTGTGTTGGACTTTCTACCACAACAGTGAGAGACACAGGGGCGTCCAGGGCCTGGTGGGACACCCTGCAGGTGAGCCTGGTCCCCGGGGAGCCGCTGGAGGGGACAGACAGGTGAGAGGACAGGGAGTAGGAACCGTCTCCGTGCTGCCGGTGGCTGGAGAGAGAGCCCTGATCCAGGAGCAGTTTGGGCTCTGAGTCCTCAGGAGAGAGGGACCACCACTCCATCTGAGAGGAGGGAGAACAGTGAGATGTCAATCAATCAATCAAACTGTGCTATAATCTTAATAATAAGAAACTGAATTAATAGAGCACATTTAGTTACAGTTAGAAAATGGTTAACAATAGAAAACAGAACACAAAGGGAATGAAGTAGACCAAAAGCCAGAAACTTAACGGAAAAAATAAAACAAAGAGTGTAAAATACACAAAATATCATAAAACATAAATCAATTCACAAAAAAGCAATCTGGAAGGAGGGAGAAAGTAGAGAAATATGACCTGTCCATCAATTAATCAAACTGTGCTATAATATTAATGTTAATAATAATAATGGATTCAATTTGAATAGCGCCTTTCAAGGGACCCAATGCCGCTTTACACGGGGAACAAGAGGGGCAAATAATAAAGTAGTATTACTAATAATACTAGGAGGAACAGTAGGAGTGGAAGCAGGGGGACTGTGATGGGTTAGGGGTCAAAGGCCATGGTTGTTGTGGAATATTTTCCAAGGCCCATAACTTTGACCCAGTTGATCAGTTCAAACTGTCCTGACTGAGCACACGCACCTCGTAACCTTGGCTGCTTTGCTCTCAGTGTTCTGTCTCCCTATTCCTGCCTGTTGGATCAGCTGATAGAGGTGTTATGGTTCTATGTTCCTGCCTGTTGGAGTCAGCTGATAGAGGTGTTATGGTTCTATGTTCCTGCCTGTTGGCGTCAGCTGATAGAGGTGTTATGGTTCTATGTTCCTGCCTGTTGGCGTCAGCTGATAGAGGTGTTATGGTTCTATGTTTCTGCCTGTTGGAGTCAGCTGATAGAGGTGTTATGGTTCTATGTTCCTGCCTGTTGACGTCAGCTGATAGAGGTGTTATGGTTCTATGTTCCTGCCTGTTGGCGTCAGCTGATAGAGGTGTTATGGTTCTATGTTCCTGCCTGTTGGAGTCAGCTGATAGAGGTGTTATGGTTCTATGTTCCTGCCTGTTGGCGTCAGCTGATAGAGGTGTTATGGTTCTATGTTCCTGCCTGTTGGCGTCAGCTGATAGAGGTGTTATGGTTCTATGTTCCTGCCTGTTGGGATCAGCTGATAGAGGTGTTATGGTTTCTATGTTCCTTGCCTGTGCGTCAGCTATAGAGGTGTTATGTTCTATGTTCCTGCCTGTTGGCGTCAGCTGATAGAGGTGTTATGGTTCTATGTTCCTGCCTGTTGGCGTCAGCTGATAGAGGTGTTATGGTTCTATGTTCCTGCTGTTGGCGTCAGCTGATAGAGGTGTTATGGTTCTATGTTCCTGCCTGTTGGCGTCAGCTGATAGAGGTGTTATGGTTCTATGTTCCTGCCTGTTGGATCAGCTGATAGAGGTGTTATGGTTCTATGTTCCTGCCTGTTGACGTCAGCTGATAGAGGTGTTATGGTTCTATGTTCCTGCCTGTTAGATCAGCTGATAGAGGTGTTATGGTTCTATGTTCCTGCCTGTTGGCGTCAGCTGATAGAGGTGTTATGGTTCTATGTTCCTGCCTGTTGACATCAGCTGATAGAGGTGTTATGGTTCTATGTTCCTGCCTGTTGGCGTCAGCTGATAGAGGTGTTATGGTTCTAAGTTCCTGCCTGTTGACATCAGCTGATAGAGGTGTTATGGTTCTATGTTCCTGCCTGTTGGCTTCAGCTGATAGAGGTGTTATGGTTCTATGTTCCTGCCTGTTGGCGTCAGCTGATAGAGGTGTTATGGTTCTATGTTCCTGCCTCGGGTTTTTGCTGTGGGGAGTCAGCTGATAGAGGTGTTATGGTTCTATGTTCCTGCCTGTTGGATCAGCTGATAGAGGTGTTATGGTTCTATGTTCCTGCCTGTTGGATCAGCTGATAGAGGTGTTATGGTTCTATGTTCCTGCCTGTTGGATCAGCTGATAGAGGTGTTATGGTTCTATGTTCCTGCCTGTTGGATCAGCTGATAGAGGTGTTTATGGTTCTATGTTCCTGCCTGTTGGCGTCAGCTGATAGAGGTGTTATGGTTCTATGTTCCTGCCTGTTGGAGTCAGCTGATAGAGGTGTTATGTTCTATGTTCCTTCCTGCCTGTTGACATCAGCTGATAGAGGGTGTTATTGGTTCTATGTTCCTGCCTGTTGGATCAGCTGATAGAGGTGTTATGGTTCTATGTTCCTGCCTGTTGCGTCAGCTGATAGAGGTGTTATGGTTCTATTGTTCCTGCCTGTTGGATCAGCTGATAGAGGTGTTATGGTTCTATGTTCCTGCCTGTTGGATCAGTCTGATAGAGGTTTATGGTTCTATGTTCCGGCCTAGTTGGATCAGCTGATAGAGGTGTTATGGTTCTATGTTCCTGCCTGTTGACATCAGCTGATAGAGGTGTTATGGTTCTATGTTCCTGCCTGTTGGCGTCAGCTGATAGAGTGTTTATGGTTCTATGTTCCTGCCTTTTGGATCAGCTGATAGAGGTGTTATGGTTCTATGTTCCTTGCCTGTTGGATCAGTTGATAGAGGTGTTATGGTTCTATGTTCCTGCCTGTTGGATCAGCTGATAGAGGTGTTATGGTTCTATGTCCTGCCTGTTGGATCAGCTGATTAGAGGTGTTATGGTTCTATGTTCCTGCCTGTTGGAGTCAGCTGATAGAGGTGTTATGGTTCTATGTTCCTGCCTGTTGGATCAGCTGATAGAGGTGTTATGGTTCTATGTTCCTGCCTGTTGGATCAGCTGATAGAGGTGTTATGGTTCTATGTTCCTGCCTGTTGACATCAGCTGATAGAGGTGTTATGGTTCTATGTTCCTGCCTGTTGGATCAGCTGATAGAGGTGTTATGGTTCTATGTTCCTGCCTGTTGGCGTCAGCTGATAGAGGTGTTATGGTTCTAGTTCCTGCCTTTTGGAGTCCAGCTGATAGAGGTGTTAGGGTTCTATGTTCCTCCTGCCTGTGTGGCGTCAGCTGATAGAGGTTGTTATGGTTATATGTTCCTGCCTGTTGGATGTCGCTGATAGAGGTGTTATGGTTCTATGTTCCCTGCCTGTTGGAGTCAGCTGGATAGAGGTGTTATGGTTCTATGTTCCTGCCTGTTGACATCAGCTGGATAGAGGTTTAGTTATGGTCTATGTTCTGCATGTTGGAGTCAGCTGATAGAGGTGTTATGAGGTTCTATGGTTCCCTGCCTGTTGGCGTCAGCTGATAGAGGTGTTATGGTTCTATGTTCCTGCCTGTTGGAGTCAGCTGATAGAGGTGTTATGGTTCTATGTTCCTAGCCTGTTGGATTCAGCTGATAGAGGTGTTATGGTTCTATGTTCCTGCCTGTTGGAGTCAGCTGATAGAGGTGTTATGGTTCTATGTTCCTGCCTGTTGGCGTCACTGATAGAGGTGGTTATGATTTTATCTTGTTATGCAGCAGTTTGATGATGCTCTCAGAACTAGTTAAAGAGTTCTTTAGAATTGACGTGGCAACTCTACCGTGAAGTCAGAACCTCTGGCTCTTGGACTTGTGATGTGAATTCTCCGGCTGAAGCTCCAAATAAACCTCCAGTGTTTGACATCAAAGCTCCTGCTCTTCCCGTGTCTCTTTCCTGAGTCGGTGACTCCCACTGCATTGCTACACAGAAGTTTCCATTACAATTGTGAACAGGTGAGTTTTTAATGATCAAAAAAAGAATAATAATAAGAAACTGAATTAATATAATTTTTCAGATTTCATATGGCATTCACACCATATCCCAACGTGCATTGCGGCTAAAACATCCAATCAGCGAGCTTAAGCCATAGCTGAGGATCTTGGGTAATCAGTTCAGTGGCTGTGTATCGCAATGATGCTCGAAATGTCCCTTATAGGCCTACGTCTGTTTCCGGTTATTTTTATTTTGAAATTCAGATCCTGACGGACGCCAAAAAAGCCCGAGATTATGGAATTAAACCAATAAATAAAAACAAGGATAATTGTGTGTTATTAGTGAGTAAATAACAGTGTGTTATTTAGAAAAGAATAACAAATTAGAAGGAAAAAAGATTTTAAAAAATACAGATTTCAGTATTTCTTTCCCTCACAGACGGCAAAAAAAGACGTGTGTAAAGTTAATATTAACACAGTACAAAGGTTAAAAAGCATCCAAGTAATAATCGAAAACATTGAATTGTTATAACATCTAGTGACAGACCTGAGCATCCAGTGGATAATATTTAGAGCAGTGGCAGCTCAGCGTCTGGGGCGGGTCCGTCTTCAAAACAAACTTCTCCTCTGAGAGGGAAACCTCAGGAGGTTCTGAAAACAAAGATTAATTGATATATTCAAAGATTCAAAGGTTTTATTGTCAGATGCACAAAGCTACGGAAATAACATGACATTCTTCTGACCTGAGCTCCTCCAACAATGCAACATGTAAAATAAAATACAAATAAAACGTAGTGCAAGAAGTCTATATACATGTGAATAGAATATGATACAAGAACAGAATATGAAATTAAATAATATACATTAAGACATTAAAGTAGAAAGAAAGTAAGGTCATAGAATTTCTGCTAAAAAGTGAGCAATGATTGAGTCAGAGCTAAACATTTCAGATGTGTGTATCTCACACTGCACTGTCACTTTATTCATGTTTTATTATCTTTGCTTTGAAAGGAGTGTTTTTAAATGCCATTTTATAATAAATGTCTTAATGTCTTTCATGTTTGTAAAGCACTTTGAATTGCCTTGTGTTGAGAGGTGCTAAATAATAAGTGAACAACTGAAATGGAAATAATCAGGTACATAAAAAGTATCTCAAAGCTTAAAGTACTTGTATCTTTTGACTGGTATATACTATAGTACTGCATCATATTGCACAGTATAAGCGTATCAAGGTGCTATTTAAATAAACTTGCCTTGCCTCGTTGCCTGTGGGATCAAACTGAGTCTGGTCTGAGTTTAAACTTACGAGTGACGTGCAGCTGGATGACCTGCTGGGCGTTGAAAGGCCCGAGGGTGACGGTGCAGATGTACGTCCCCTCGTCCAGCGCCTTCAGCCGGGACAGAGTCAACGAGGCGTCTCCCTGTCCGACGACCAGAGAGGCGTTCACGCTCGAACCCTTCCTTTCTGCCAGCACTGACCACAGAGAATGAAACCGAAATAATTGAAAAACAATCTCAACTCGAGGTCTATCTTCTGGCTTGATTTAGAGACAGCTTTTTGTTGTTTCTTTCTCTCTTACTTGTATGTTTTGCGCAGACTGCTTATACTTAGCTAAGGCTGTTGAATGCAGTTTACATACAAGATTAATTCCTACAGTAACTACACAAATTGATGACCAATTATGAAGTTTTAGAGCTTGGTCCTAGCTGAACCATCTCACTAATTAAATGTTAAAAAAATGATAATTTAACAACCCATTTATTACGTGGTTAAGAGGAATTCAATCCCAAAGTAATCACACAAACTGATGATTACGAACACAAGTTTCAAAGTTACTATATGTCTCAGTTACCTCATCCATGTATTGTGGTTCAACAACATATTTATTAAATAATATCATGACATATTTCTGAATGATATTACGTTTGTTTTAAATGTTTAAATACCCCAACTATTCTGTGATGTCAAAACAGCCACTCTGCGTTCACAAAAGGTTGTGATTGTGAAACATTAGGCGCTTTCACACCAGAGTACTTTTCACACACACACACACACACACACACACACACACACACACACACACACACACACACACACACACACACACACGGGTGATTCTCACGAACTTGGTGTAACATGAGCCAAAACAGTTCGATGCAGATTTTGAAAATAATTGTTCTCATTAGTATCAACCAGGTTCTAAATGAACTAGCCCTAGTAAAAGAAAAGTTCTGTATGTTTTAAAACACATTTTTAGAGAGTTTTAACGAGTCATTGACCAAATAAATTCATTACCGTAACACATTTTCAATTGATGATAACTAAATATTTGAGTAAATGTTTGGCATTTTATTTTTTAACGTATGCTGCTGTCAATAGTCACAAGTAGTCACATAGTGTAATAATTCAGGTAAATATATAATAATATAATAATTTTAGTTATTAACTTCATTACCGTAACACAATTTTATGTTCCACACATTGACTTTTACTGTGGTGTAAATTGTACAATTGATTGAAAAAAGACAATTTTAAAATATGAACAGACATACCAAACATTTCCTGTACAAAATGAAAATTTGAAGGTTTTCCATATTCCTATCAAAATATTAACTTATTAAGGAAGTGTTATGGTAATGAACAGAGCATGTCGGTAATGAAAAGCTTTTGTTATGGTAATGACCTTACATGGAGAAGAGATATACTATTGCTTTATAAATACTTTCGCTTTACGTATATATTCACACACACACAATTTTGAATTGCACCGTTACTTTTATATACTGTCTCTTTACACACACAATAGACAATAGTAACGTAACGTTTGTTACATGATACATAATGTACCTGTATACAATCACCGCTGCCGGCAGGGACATCGCTCCTTGCATGGTCCTTGGAAAATGCGGTAGTGTTTTTCCACTCTAAACTTTTCCAGGGCTCTGTAGAAGTCAAACTGTTCAATGGGTGGTCCTTCAATGCAGATTCAGTCGAGATTTCCTGCTGTTATTCTTGCCCTGCCCTTGGTCTTTATGCGATTTTGAATGCTGAATCCACGTCCGCACCGCACCGTGCTCATTGGAATGACCGAGATTGCAGCCAGGAGCTTTGTGGTTTCAGGTAGGAAGCCCGCATGTTGTGTAGCCATGATCTTCACCAACTCCTGGAAGGAATTGTTGCTGTAGTTTGCATGGACCAGCTCCTTAAAAGGTGACCACTCTGCGCTGCAGGTGTCCGTGTCAACGATAGGTTCCCGTCCCGCTGGGCACAAGTGATCCAGGATGGTCTGCAGCTCATTGCGTCCAAATCGCGCACGTTCAGTGTTGTCCCGTGGCAGACACCATGGGTCAAATATGCGAAAAGCGGAAAAGAGGCCGATGTCTGGGAAACGATCTTCAATATTCTGGATGAGGGTGTCGAGGAAGCGCTGCCTTACACCATCCACGGCCTGCCGCATCGCCCTGGTGGCCTTTATCTTTTCTCCCTTAAAATACATCTCGCCGTTTTTCTCCACAATGTTGGCCAAGAATTCTTGGAATTTTAGGCCGCCTTCATCTCCAATCTGCATGACTCACAGCGCATTGATCGTTGAGGTTACAGCAGGCTGAACGTCATCAGTGTCCAGGATGACATGCATTTCTTTAAGCCGTGCTTGCCGAGAGCTGCTGTTGGAGAAGTATCCATAGATGCTGCCCACCGTCCTCTGGTAGCGCTGGAGGGATGGAATCGCCACAGCAGCCTGCTGGGCACAGAAGTTTAGCTTATGTGTAGCGCAGTGTGTGCCACCGATGGCTGGGTTTTCCCTTTTTAAAACGCGCCCCGAACCCATTTTCTCTTCCAGTCATAACCGCTGCCCCATCTGTACGGACGCCAGTTATGTCGTTCAGGTCGATGTTGTAATTTTGCAACTGCTCCTTAATGGTTTGTGTTACGGAAGCAGCGTCGCATGCAGTATCTTTGTGTTGCACAAGTAGTGGGTTTCTAAGTCACCGTCATTTATTAGGTTAACATATGTGCAAAGAAGCTTTTCCACCGAAATGTCCGTGGACTCGTCAGTCATGAGCCCCTTGAATGTTGAGTTATTTAACTTTGCAATGAAATCCTCCTTCAGCACATTACGGCGCACTGCATGTCCTGCACTATGTCGTTGTGAGGGCGTTCTCTGAAACTCGCAGTTCTGCCAAGGTTTCACATCCCTGCAGAATGCACAGTTCATTCAAGCTTTTGTTTTTGTGTGTCAGCAACAGTTCTTTTGCCAGGTAATACACGTTCCTCTTGGCCGCAATTACCGCCTTTGATCTGGCACAGACCATTCGATTAACGGCAACTTGAATGTTGTTTCTCCGTAAATGCTGTGCATCTAGCACTGCTTTGTGATCCACCCCCTTTATGTGCATCTCTATAGTCTTCACCCTGAAGTTGGACGTCCCCGAGGTGAACGCGTTGTGCTTTTTTTCCCTTACACATAGTGTGCAATACATTTTATGACTTTGTTTATTATAGCACAACCACGGGAACTTCATTTTCCAGGTTCCGACAAACTTCCTTTTGTTGTGGCTGACCGGTTTCTCTTCGTGGCTTACGGGTGTAGAAGTGACATTGTCAGATGGCGTAGGCTCTGGATGGGGTGGGAGGCTAGATGACGACAACTCCGGCCCCGGGGCACCTGCACGGGCGGGGGATGCTGGCGGAGACTAGGATGGCGGCAACTCAGGCTCGGGCTGAGAGCCAACGGCAAGGCTCGCTGGCAGTACACTTTTTTCCGTCACAGGAACCGGCTTTGTTGGTGGCGAAAAAAATCCCACCAGCCTCCTTTGCCCCTCCAACAGAGGGATGTCATTTTCCTTTTTGTCATTTAAACCAGGGGTTCCCAAAGTGTGGGAAGGTGAGCCTCCCCTCAGAGAACATAATCACAGCCGCGCCCCCCCTCCCAATTATTATTGCTATCATTATTGTTGCTATAATGCAGGGGTATTCAATTGCATTGCAAAGAGAAAATGTAAGGTGAGAAAATGTCATAAAATGCTCTGTTTTCGCTACCTTCCTATTTTTTGATTGGCTGAGCGTCACCTCCTTAAACATTAAACAATAGCTTTTTTAAACCTCTTTATCTTTATGTTTTAAACATGTTGAGGTTAAGGATGGCAGCTTCCTCATACGTTGCACTCGGAGAGAAATAGTTGAGACGGAGATGTCTTTAGCAGCAGGGAGGAGTAACGTTTCACCAATGTTGTGAGGTTTACCTGTCTTAGCTATCCGTAACGCCACTCGGTATGATGCTTCGGTTGCCTTTGTATTCACAGTGCTAAATGTGTCAATGACATTTTTCTGTGACTGCAATTCCTTGAGCTTCCGGTCAAAAAACTCCTGTGGCTTGGTCACCAAACATGGGTGTTTCGTCTCAATATGACGCCGGAGTTTACATGGTCTCATACTGTCATTAGCTAGCACCTCGTTGCAGATAACACACTGTGGCAGTGGAGTGTCATCAGGACCGGTCCATGAACATCCTAGCTTCAAATAATCATTGTCATACTTCCTTCGTTTTCTGACAGACGCTGTCTCCTCTCTCACTTTAGGTAACTTCACAAAAAATCTATCCATATTTTGCAGCTCGCATAAAGTTAGCTGAAGTTAACTAGCTAGATTTCACTGTTTCTCTTTATTTTTTTCTGGCGGCTGCGCCTCCCTTGAAGCTCTCTGGAGCCCCCCAGGGGAGGCGCGCCTCACACTTTGGGAACCCCTGATTTAAACGATAAAAATTGTCGATCTTCTCTCGGATAAATCTTTTTTTTGGGCCGCCTCGGCTCGAGTTGAGGGCGCTCCGAGCTGAAAAACGGCATCCAATGACGGCAAGACGGCCCCCTGGTGGAAACACTGGCTCAGTCTCTCTCTCTCTGTCTCTCTCTTTCTCAGTCTCTCTCTTTCTCTGTCTCTCTCTTTCTCACTCACTCTCTCTCTCACACACAATGTGAAGATGTCCTGTTCTAACCTCTCTCTTTCCTTCCTTCTGTACTCTTCCAGCAGCTCTGGGTTGCTGTACACTTTCTCTCTGTGCTTCACCACCCTCACCTTGGAAGCTGCCCTTTTCCTTTCCACCTTTTCTGAACTTCATTTCAAGAGGGATTCAGTATTCATTAAATAAATTAGATTCAAATAATATATATAAATGATTTCTTTATAGTTAAAGTTCACCATACATAGCTGCACACATTTCTTTCATTACCGCAACAATTTTGTTCATTACCGTAACAGCCTCCTATATGACATGGTAATGAATGCAGAGCATTACGGTAATGAATGACCATAACACTAGCTAGCATAATAGTTAGCATAGCCATGATGCTACAAAAGAAATATTTGCACTATCATTCTGGCTCTATAAAAGCAACTTTTCTATTGATTTTGGAATCAATAACTTTAAAAAAAACATTATATAATACCCCATTACGGTAATGACAGTTAGTAGTGTACACTGGGGTGTCAGTAAATTGAATCTTTAACATATCTATAGCTTGACCTTGAAAGGACATCTTACCTTGTAGCTATCTTGCATCTTCTCTTCCATGCAATGCATCATGGGTAAAAAAAAAACTAATTTAAACAAACAGGAATTGTAATGGGGCCAAATAGGCAGTGCATCGGTAATGAACTTCACATGCTCCGGACACACATATTAATCCAAAAATATTTTAATTCATAAATCTTAGACCCAAAATAATTATATTACCAGTAAGAATGTACCATTTCAACAATTTTTTGTATTTATGTATGTATTAAATTGTGCAGATTTATTGTGATATTTTGGGGTTAAATGTAAAAAAATAAACTCCGGACGCATTACGGTAATGAATTTCTACATGGAAAAATGGTGAAAAAAATATGAATTACTACCTCAACTACAAAAATAGCAATAGTACCACATACAATACACAATGCAGTTTGATATAGAATTGATTATTTAGATTATTTTTGTAATTTTGTCTGTCAATTCCTCACAGACATGACCAAAGGTGGTTTCGTGAGAATCACCCACACACACACACAGGTCATGTGCAATGACACTTTTTACTCTCGACTAGTTATTAGTGGCTGCTGTACTTTGAATTACTTTTATATGGTAACTTGCTGCCACTTAATTTTATAATGCTGTTTTTTAAAATCTTTTAATCTTTGCTGTTGTAACGCTGTAAATATCTCCGTTGTGGTAAAACGGATGTCTGATCCAGATAAAGCAGAATACCAGTGGCAGCACTCACCCACTGTGCTCCCCTCTGCATCATCCAGCCTCGTCTTCATTTCAAACACTTTCCAGCCTTTCCCCCGGTGCTGCAGTCGCCATTCAACGGCCACTTCCTGCGCTAAGGGGGTCTCCTGCTGCCTGAAGCCGCAGTACAGGAGAACGTCTCCTCTCAGAGGAGCGGACACAGACTTTATGTGGGAAAACACCAGGAAGATCACTGCAGGACAGAAAACAGAGAGAAAAAATAGTCTGTTGTGATGTTATCAGAGATGGCACAAGTACACACATCCTTTACTCAAGTAGAAGTACAGATACTCGTGTTTAAAAATACTCTGGTAAAAGTAGAAGTACTGACTAAACTTCTTTACTCAAGTAAAAGTAAAGAGGCTTTGAAATGTACTTCAGTAAAAAGTACCCATATCTAGCAGCTGCTTTAAAGAGTACCTGACCTCCCTTTATATTAATAGAACAATAATGTCATTGTTAGCTAATGAATGTTTCCATGCTGAACAACGACAACATGACAACGTTTCCATTGGTCCCTCTTCTTTAGAGAAGACCAGGAAATGATGGATACACGGATCGTGTTCAAATCAATAGGCACGCAATGACTCTAAAGAATAACGATCACGCACCAAACACACATTCAGACTAAAGGAACCAGCTGTTTGGAAAATGAGAGAAGTAGAAAGTACAGGTATTTGTGTTCAACATGTAAGAAGTAGAAAGTACAGGTATTTGGGTTCAACATGTAAGAAGTAGAAAGTACAGGTATTTGAGTTCAACATGTAAGAAGTAGAAAGTACAGGTATTTGAGTTCAACATGTAAGAAGTAGAAAGTACAGGTATTTGTGTTCAACATGTAAGAAGTAGAAAGTACAGGTATTTGAGTTCAACATGTAAGAAGTAGAAAGTACAGGTATTTGAGTTCAACATGTAAGAAGTAGAAAGTACAGGTATTTGGGTTCACATGTAAGAAGTAGAAAGTACAGGTATTTGAGTTCAACATGTAAGAAGTAGAAAGTACAGGTATTGTGTTCAACATGTAAGAAGTAGAAAGTACAGGTATTTGAGTTCAACATGTAAGAAGTAGAAAGTACAGTATTTGAGGTCAACAGGTAAGAAGTAGAACAGTACAGGTATTTGAGTTCACATGTAAGAAGTAGAAAGTACAGGTATTTGAGTCAACATGTAAGAAGTAGAAAGTACAGGTATTTTGTGTTCAACATGTAAGAAGTAGAGAAAGTACAGGTATTTGGGTTCACATGTAAGAAGTAGAAGTACAGGTTATTTTTTTGTGTTCAACATGTGAGAAGTAGAAAGTACAGGTATTTGTGTTCAACATGTAAGAAGTAGAAAGTACAGGTATTTGTGTTCACATTGTAAGAAGTAGAAAGTACAGGTATTTGAGTTCAACATGTAAGAAGTAGAAAGTACAGGTATTTGTGTTCAACATCTATGAAGTAGAAAGTACAGGTATTTGAGTTCAACATGTAAGAAGTAGAAAGTACAGGTATTTGTGTTCAACATGTAAGAAGTAGAAAGTACAGGTATTTGTGTTCAACATCTATGAAGTAGAAAGTACAGGTATTTGAGTTCAACATGTAAGAAGTAGAAAGTACAGGTATTTGTGTTCAACATCTATGAAGTAGAAAGTACAGGTATTTGAGTTCAACATGTAAGAAGTAGAAAGTACAGGTATTTGTGTTCAACATGTAAGAAGTAGAAAGTACTGGTATTTGGGTTCAACATGTAAGAAGTAGAAAGTACAGGTATTTGGGTTCAACATGTAAGAAGTAGAAAGTACAGGTATTTGAGTTCAACATGTAAGAAGTAGAAAGTACAGGTATTTGGGTTCAACATGTAAGAAGTAGAAAGTACAGGTATTTGAGTTCAACATGTAAGAAGTAGAAAAGTACAGGTATTTGTGTTGAAACATGTAAGAAGTAGAAAGTACAGGTATTTGTGTTCAACATGTAAGAAGTAGAAAGTACAGGTATTTGTGTTCAACATGTAAGAAGTAGAAAGTACAGGTATTTGGGTTCAACATGTAAGAAGTAGAAAGTACAGGTATTTGAGTTCAACATGTAAGAAGTAGAAAGTACAGGTATTTGAGTTCAACATGTAAGAAGTAGAAAGTACAGGTATTTGGGTTCAAATGTAAGAAGTAGAAAGTACAGGTATTTGAGTTCAACATGTAAGAAGTAGAAAGTACAGGTATTTGTGTTCAACATGTAAGAAGTAGAAAGTACAGGTATTTGTGTTCAACATGTAAGAAGTAGAAAGTACAGGTATTTGTGTTCAACATGTAAGAAGTAGAAAGTACAGGTATTTGTGTTCAACATGTAAGAAGTAGAAAGTACAGGTATTTGGGTTCAACATGTAAGAAGTAGAAAGTACAGGTATTTGAGTTCAACATGTAAGAAGTAGAAAGTACAGGTATTTGTGTTCAAACATGTAAGAAGTAGAAAGTACAGGTATTTGAGTTCAACATGTAAGAAGTAGAAAGTACAGGTATTTGAGTTCAACATGTAAGAAGTAGAAAGTACAGGTATTTGGGTTCAACATGTAAGAAGTAGAAAGTACAGGTATTTGAGTTCAACATGTAAGAAGTAGAAAGTACAGGTATTTGTGTTCAACATGTAAGAAGTAGAAAGTACAGGTATTTGAGTTCAACATGTAAGAAGTAGAAAGTACAGGTATTGAGTTCAACATGTAAGAAGTAGAAAGTACAGGTATTTGAGTTCAACATGTAAGAAGTAGAAAGTACAGGTATTTGAGTTCAACATGTAAGAAGTAGAAAGTACAGGTATTTGTGTTCAACATGTAAGAAGTAGAAAGTACAGGTATTTGGGTTCAACATGTAAGAAGTAGAAAGTACAGGTATTTGTGTTCAACATGTGAGAAGTAGAAAGTACAGGTATTTGAGTTCAACATGTAAGAAGTAGAAAGTACAGGTATTTGTGTTCAACATCTATGAAGTAGAAAGTACAGGTATTTGAGTTCAACATGTAAGAAGTAGAAAGTACAGGTATTTGTGTTCAACATGTAAGAAGTAGAAAGTACAGGTATTTGTGTTCAACATCTATGAAGTAGAAAGTACAGGTATTTGAGTTCAACATGTAAGAAGTAGAAAGTACAGGTATTTGGGTTCAAAATGTAAGAAGTAGAAAGTACAGGTATTTGAGTTCAACATGTAAGAAGTAGAAAGTACAGGTATTTGAGTTCAACATGTAAGAAGTAGAAAGTACAGGTATTTGTGTTCAACATGTAAGAAGTAGAAAGTACAGGTATTTGTGTTCAACATGTAAGAAGTAGAAAGTACTGGTATTTGGGTTCAACATGTAAGAAGTAGAAAGTACAGGTATTTGGGTTCAACATGTAAGAAGTAGAAAGTACAGGTATTTGTGTTCAACATGTATGAAGTAGAAAGTACAGGTATTTGAGTTCAACATGTAAGAAGTAGAAAGTACAGGTATTTGAGTTCAACATGTAAGAAGTAGAAAGTACAGGTATTTGTGTTCAACATGTAAGAAGTAGAAAGTACTGGTATTTGGGTTCAACATGTAAGAAGTAGAAAGTACAGGTATTTGAGTTCAACATGTAAGAAGTAGAAAGTACAGGTATTTGGGTTCAACATGTAAGAAGTAGAAAGTACAGGTATTTGTGTTCAACATGTAAGAAGTAGAAAGTTCAGGTATTTGAGTTCAACATGTAAGAAGTAGAAAGTACAGATATTTGTGTTCAACATGTTAGAAGTTGAAAGTACAGGTATTTGTGTTCAACATGTAAGAAGTAGAAAGTACAGGTATTTGTGTTCAACATGTAAGAAGTAGAAAGTACAGGTATTTGGGTTCAACATGTAAGAAGTAGAAAGTACAGGTATTTGGGTTCAACATGTAAGAAGTAGAAAGTACAGGTATTTGAGTTCAACATGTAAGAAGTAGAAAGTTCAGGTATTTGAGTTCAACATGTAAGAAGTAGAAAGTACAGGTATTTGTGTTCAACATGTAAGAAGTAGAAAGTACAGGTATTTAAGTTCAACATGTAAGAAGTAGAAAGTACAGGTATTTGGGGTTCAACATGTAAGAAGTAGAAAGTACAGGTATTTGAGTTCAACATGTAAGAAGTAGAAAGTACAGGTATTTGAGTTCAACATGTAAGAAGTAGAAAGTACAGGTATTTGGGTTCAACATGTAAGAAGTAGAAAGTACAGGTATTTGAGTTCAACATGTAAGAAGTAGAAAGTACAGGTATTTGGGTTCAACATGTAAGAAGTAGAAAGTACAGGTATTTGAGTTCAACATGTAAGAAGTAGAAAGTACAGGTATTTTAGTTCAACATGTAAGAAGTAGAAAGTACAGGTATTTGTGTTCAACATGTAAGAAGTAGAAAGTACAGGTATTTGAGTTCAACATGTAAGAAGTAGAAAGTACAGGTATTTGAGTTCAACATGTAAGAAGTAGAAAGTACAGGTATTTGAGTTCAACATGTAAGAAGTAGAAAGTACAGGTATTTGGGTTCAAAATGTAAGAAGTAGAAAGTACAGGTATTTGAGTTCAACATGTAAGAAGTAGAAAGTACAGGTATTTGGGTTCAACATGTAAGAAGTAGAAAGTACAGGTATTTGGGTTCAACATGTAAGAAGTAGAAAGTACAGGTATTTGGGTTCAACATGTAAGAAGTAGAAAGTACAGGTATTTGGGTTCAACATGTAAGAAGTAGAAAGTACAGGTATTTGGGTTCAACATGTAAGAAGTAGAAAGTACAGGTATTTGGGTTCAACATGTAAGAAGTAGAAAGTACAGGTATTTGAGTTCAACATGTAAGAAGTAGAAAGTACAGGTATTTGGGTTCAACATGTAAGAAGTAGAAAGTACAGGTATTTGGGTTCAACATGTAAGAAGTAGAAAGTACAGGTATTTGAGTTCAACATGTAAGAAGTAGAAAGTACAGGTATTTGAGTTCAACATGTAAGAAGTAGAAAGTACAGGTATTTGGGTTCAACATGTAAGAAGTAGAAAGTACAGGTATTTGAGTTCAACATGTAAGAAGTAGAAAGTACAGGTATTTGAGTTCAACATGTAAGAAGTAGAAAGTACAGGTATTTGGGTTCAAAATGTAAGAAGTAGAAAGTACAGGTATTTGAGTTCAACATGTAAGAAGTAGAAAGTACAGGTATTTGGGTTCAACATGTAAGAAGTAGAAAGTACAGGTATTTTAGTTCAACATGTAAGAAGTAGAAAGTACAGGTATTTGTGTTCAACATGTAAGAAGTAGAAAGTACAGGTATTTGAGTTCAACATGTAAGAAGTAGAAAGTACAGGTATTTGAGTTCAACATGTAAGAAGTAGAAAGTACAGGTATTTGAGTTCAACATGTAAGAAGTAGAAAGTACAGGTATTTGGGTTCAAAATGTAAGAAGTAGAAAGTACAGGTATTTGAGTTCAACTGTAGAAAGTAGAAAGTACAGGTATTTGGTTCAACATGTAAGAAGTAGAAAGTACAGGTATTTGGGTTCAACATGTAAGAAGTAGAAAGTACAGGTATTTGGGTTAAACATGTAAGAAGTAGAAAGTACAGGTATTTGGGTTCAACATGTAAGAAGTAGAAAGTACAGGTATTTGGGTTCAACATGTAAGAAGTAGAAAGTACAGGTATTTGGGTTCAACATGTAAGAAGTAGAAAGTACAGGTATTTGAGTTCAACATGTAAGAAGTAGAAAGTACAGGTATTTGGGTTCAACATGTAAGAAGTAGAAAGTACAGGTATTTGAGTTCAACATGTAAGAAGTAGAAAGTACAGGTATTTGAGTTCAACATGTAAGAAGTAGAAAGTACAGGTATTTGGGTTCAACATGTAAGAAGTAGAAAGTACAGGTATTTGGTTCAACATGTAAGAAGTAGAAAGTACAGGTATTTGTGTTCAACATGTAAGAAGTAGAAAGTACAGGTATTTGTGTTCAACATGTAAGAAGTAGAAAGTACAGGTATTTGGGTTCAACATGTAAGAAGTAGAAAGTACAGGTATTTGTGTTCAACATGTATGAAGTAGAAAGTACAGGTATTTGAGTTCAACATGTAAGTAGTAGAAAGTACAGGTATTTGGGTTCAACATGTAAGAAGTAGAAAGTACAGGTATTTGTGTTCAACATGTATGAAGTAGAAAGTACAGGTATTTGAGTTCAACATGTAAGAAGTAGAAAGTACAGGTATTTGGGTTCAAAATGTAAGAAGTAGAAAGTACAGGTATTTGAGTTCAACATGTAAGAAGTAGAAAGTACAGGTATTTGAGTTCAACATGTAAGAAGTAGAAAGTACAGGTATTTGAGTTCAACATGTAAGAAGTAGAAAGTACAGGTATTTGTGTTCAACATGTAAGAAGTAGAAAGTACAGGTATTTGTGTTCAACATGTAAGAAGTAGAAAGTACAGGTTTTTTGGGTTCAACATGTAAGAAGTAGAAAGTACAGGTATTTGGGTTCAACATGTAAGAAGTAGAAAGTACAGGTATTTGAGTTCAACATGTAAGAAGTAGAAAGTACAGGTATTTTGTGTTTCAACATGTAAGAAGTAGAAAAGTACAGGTATTTGTGTTCAACATGTAAGAAGTAGAAGTACAGGTATTTGAGTTCAACATGTAAGACGTAGAAAAGTACAGGTATTTGGGTTCAACATGTAAGAAGTAGAAAGTACAGGTATTTGGGTTCAACATGTAAGAAGTAGAAAAGTACAGGTATTGTGTTCAACATGTAAGAAGAGTAGAAAGTACAGGTATTTGGTGTTCAACATGTAGAAGTAGAAAGTACAGGTATTGTGTTAACATGTAAGAAGTAGAAAGTACAGGTATTTGTATTCAACATGTAAGAAGTAGAAAGTACAGGTATTTGTGTTCAAACTGTAAGAGGTAGAAAGTACAGGTATTTGAGTTCAACATGTAAGAAGTAGAAAGTACAGGTATTTGTGTTCAACATGTAAGAAGTAGAAAGTACAGGTATTTGTGTTCAACATGTATGAAGTAGAAAGTACAGGTATTTGAGTTCAACATGTAAGAAGTAGAAAGTACAGGTATTTGTGTTCAACATGTAAGAAGTAGAAAGTAACTGGTATTTGTGTTCAACATGTAAGAAGTAGAAAGTACAGGTATTTGAGTTCAACATGTAAGAAGTAGAAAGTACAGGTATTTGTGTTCAACATGTAAGAAGTAGAAAGTACAGGTATTTGTGTTCAACATGTAAGAAGTAGAAAGTACAGGTATTTGAGTTCAACATGTAAGAAGTAGAAAGTACAGGTATTTGGGTTCAACATGTAAGAAGTAGAAAGTACAGGTATTTGGTTCAACATGTAAGAAGTAGAAAGTACAGGTATTTGTGTTCAACATGTAAGAAGTAGAAAGTACAGGTATTTGGGTTCAACATGTAAGAAGTAGAAAGTACAGGTATTTGAGTTCAAAATGTAAGAAGTAGAAAGTTCAGGTATTTGATGTTTCAACATGTAAGAAGTAGAAAGTACAGGTATTGTGTTCAACATGTAAGAAGTAGAAAGTACAGGTATTTGTGTTCAACATGTAAGAAGTAGAAAGTACAGGTATTTGTGTTCAAACTGTAAGAAGTAGAAAGTACAGGTATTTGAGTTCAACATGTAAGAAGTAGAAAGTACAGGTATTTGTGTTCAACATGTAAGAAGTAGAAAGTACCGGTATTTTGGGTTTCAACATGTAAGAAGTAGAAAGTACAGGTATTTGTGTTCAACATGTAAGAAGTAGAAAGTACAGGTATTTAAGTTCAACATGTAAGAAGTAGAAAGTACAGGTATTTGAGTTCAACATGTAAGAAGTAGAAAGTACAGGTATTTGGGTTCAACATGTAAGAAGTAGAAAGTACAGGTATTTGGGTTCAACATGTAGAAGTAGAAAGTACAGGTATTTGAGTTCAACATGTAAGAAGTAGAAAGTACAGGTATTTGAGTTCAACATGTAAGAAGTAGAAAGTACAGGTATTTGGGTTCAAAATGTAAGAAGTAGAAAGTACAGGTATTTGAGTTCAACCATGTAAGAAGTAGAAAGTACAGGTATTTGAGTTCAACATGTAAGAAGTAGAAAGTACAGGTATTTGGGTTCAACATGTAAGAAGTAGAAAGTACAGGTATTTGAGTTCAACATGTAAGAAGTAGAAAGTACAGGTATTTGGGTTCAACATGTAAGAAGTAGAAAGTACAGGTATTTGAGTTCAACATGTAAGAAGTAGAAAGTACAGGTATTTGAGTTCAACATGTAAGAAGTAGAAAGTACAGGTATTTGGGTTCAAAATGTAAGAAGTAGAAGTACAGGTATTTGAGTTCAACATGTAAGAAGTAGAAAGTACAGGTATTTGGGTTCAACATGTAAGAAGTAGAAAGTACAGGTATTTGGGTTCAACATGTAAGAAGTAGAAAGTACAGGTATTTGTGTTCAACATGTAAGAAGTAGAAAGTTCAGGTATTTGGGTTCAACATGTAAGAAGTAGAAAGTACAGGTATTGGGTTCAACATGTAAGAAGTAGAAAGTACAGGTATTGGGTTCAACATGTAAGAAGTAGAAAGTACAGGTATTTGGGTTCAACATGTAAGAAGTAGAAAGTACAGGTATTTGAGTTCAACATGTGAGAAGTAGAAAGTACAGGTATTTGGGTTCAACATGTAAGAAGTAGAAAGTACAGGTATTTGAGTTCAACATGTAAGAAGTAGAAGTACAGGTATTTGGGTTCAACATGTAAGAAGTAGAAAGTACAGGTATTTGAGTTCAACATGTAAGAAGTAGAAAGTACAGGTATTTGAGTTCAACATGTAAGAAGTAGAAAGTACAGGTATTTGGGTTCAACATGTAAGAAGTAGAAAGTACAGGTATTTGTGTTCAACATGTAAGAAGTAGAAAGTACAGGTATTTGAGTTCAACATGTAAGAAGTAGAAAGTACAGGTATTTGGGTTCAACATGTAAGAAGTAGAAAGTACAGGTATTTGAGTTCAACATGTAAGAAGTAGAAAGTACAGGTATTTGAGTTCAACATGTAAGAAGTAGAAAGTACAGGTATTTGGGTTCAACATGTAAGAAGTAGAAAGTACAGGTATTTGAGTTCAACATGTAAGAAGTAGAAAGTACAGGTATTTGGGTTCAAAATGTAAGAAGTAAAAGTAAAAAGTCGTTGCACAAAAGAAGTAGCAGAGTAAAGTACTGATACCATACAAATGTACAGTAACAAAGTATTTGTACTCCACTACTTCCCACCTCTGGATGTTATTGATGGAAGGCAATACAAAGAGTGATATAAAACACTTGTTCTAACCTTCAGTGAGAAGAGTTCCCGAGGGACTGAGACGTAGACCCAGTTTATTTTGAATGAGGGTCGAATGGTCCCTCTCCACCACTGAAGTCTGCAGAATGAACGCAGTGCTGAACTCGCCTCCCTCCACACTCAGAGACACCAGGAAATGAGTCGCTTCCTGAGCCTCCTGGGGTCCATGAGGAGAGTAACGGCTCAGTTCACACGTCACCTCCTGCTCATTGCAGTCAGCGTGGAGCAACACATGAGCATCAGGGATCTGAGGGGACGACACTGCAACAGAGGGAAGGACAAGAGGTATTTAAAGAGGGTTTTTTTCACCCTTTCCTGTAGTGTTATATAGGTTTGTGTGCATGTAAATGGTCTGCAAAGGCTAAAATCCCTGTGTTCCCTCTCCCGCACACACACATGAAACTTCTCCATTGGACTCCTTTGTTGGTCATACTGACATCACTATGTAACACTTGCGCTTCTATTGGCTAGCGCTCCAACACATTGTACGTGATAGACTAAGGGGCGGGACATCTCTAAGCGGTATCACAACAGAGCTAACCAATCAGAGCAGACTGGGCTCTGGTTTCAGACAGAGGGTGAAAAGAGGTGCTGCAGCACAGGCAGTATGAGAAAAATAAAGAACTTTGTGAACATTAAAGCATGGAGACATGTCAGAGACACTACATACTGATATACACCTGACCATCAGCAGGAGAGGACTCTTTAAAGTAGAGACACTACATACTGATATACACCTGAACATCAGTAGGAGAGGACTCTTTTAAAGTAGAGACACTACATACTGATATACACCTGAACATCAGTAGGAGAGGACTCTTTAAAGTAGAGACACTACATACTGATATACACCTGAACATCAGCAGGAGAGGACTCTTTAAAGTAGAGACACTACATACTGATATACACCTGAACATCAGCAGGAGAGGACTCTTTAAAGTAGAGACACTACATACTGATATACACCTGAACATCAGCAGGAGAGGACTCTTTAAAGTAGAGACACTACATACTGATATACACCATACTGTAAAAAAAACGGTTATTTTCTGGCGACGGGGGCGCCAGAAAATGTCCGTTAAAAAAAGGAAAAAAACTGTAAAATAAAATACGGAGATAACATGTAAAAAAACAGTAACTTACCTTACCACAAGTAGCCTCTATTACTGTAATTTTACATGAAATATCTTTCTTTTAACATATATTATTTGTTAGAATAGAGTCATAAACCTCTAGAAAACAGAATAATTATCTTTTAAAAATGATAAAGAAAAGCTAAAATACAGAAAATTACTTTTATTATTACAAAAAAGTACCGTATATCTAAGACCATTTACAAGTAAAACACAAAGAAAAGAACGTAATTTTACTTTGCAAAAGCGTTAGTTTACATTAATTATCTTATTTTTTGCCAAAAAAATCTGTAATTTCACAAGAAATCTTCTTATAATTCCATGAAATCTTTTTCTTTTAACATATATTAATTGTTAGAATAGAGTCATTTACCTCTAAAACAACAGAATAAATATGTTTTTAAATTATAATAAAAAGCTTAAAGACAGAAGATTACTGTTGTTCTTTAAAAATATTAATGTAAATCAAAGATCATTTACATGTAAAATACAAAGAAAACATGTAATTATATTTTCGGAAATGCTTAAGTTTACATTAACTGTCAGATGTTTTGCAGGAAAAAAATCTGTATTCAAATACATTAATAAACTGTCAAAATAAATGCATTTACTTTCTCTAAATGTAGGTTTACTGTACTTTTACATTGTGTTAATCTTGTATTTAAAAACATAAATTGGAAAAAAGAACTCCTGAAGTATGATGATATTTGTCTGCATAATACTTTAAAATATGTGAAATTATGCAGCAAAGCAATGTATGCAATATCATTAAAAGGTTATGCCTTTGGCAACATGTTGAAAATATTTGACAATATAAATAAAAAATGACACCACCACCATTATTTTTTATAATTTCTTATTATTTGCAATGCCGTAACATAATTAAGAACACAATATATACACGTTATTATAATACGTTCTATATATATAACCCATACATATACACTAGGGGTGTAACGGTTCACAAACATTTCGGTTCGGTACGTACCTCGGTTTTTTGGTCACGGTTCGGTTCGGTACGTTTTCGGTACAGCAGAATTTTTTTTCACAAAACAAAACATATATATATTTTTTTATTATTATTATTAAACTGTGAATAATGTATTCACTCAAATAAATACAACATATAATAAAATAAACATTAAGGTGCAGCATTTCGATGAACTGAAATAATCTGTATTTGAACTGTACTGTACTAGTACTCACAAAACATAAACTATTAGTTTTGGGTTTTTTATTTTTTATTAAACTGTGAATATTCACTCAAAAAAATACAAAATATAATAAAATAAACATTAAGGTGCAGCATTTCGATGAACTGAAATAATCTGTATTTGAACTGTACTGTACTAGTTCCTAAGCAGCCAGCTTGACATTATGACTTGCTTGTCATTGTATTTTCATGTTTTTTTAAAGAAAAATTAACTTGCTTGCCGAAAGGGCAGATCTGCTGGCACTAACAAAGTCTCCTGCTGTGGAGAACACCCTCTCTAGGGACGGAGGTAGCAGATACAGCCAGGTAGCGCTTTGCTAACATGGCAACATAAGGATATTTGGTGTTTGTAATAGCTTTGGCTCGGTCTGAACTCTCTGCGAGTGGTGGAGGCTTACATGCTAGTGGGAGTTGGGTTTGCACTTCAGTCTTTTTTCTTTTGGTACCGGTGATATTCACGTTCGGGTGATGCCTTTTCAAGAGTGTGCAAGTTTGATGTATTGCCAGCCGCGTAACCAATTTTAGTTGAACAATGCCGACAAACAGCTTTGGTTCGGTCCACCTGTCTTTGTCCGTCATCCTTGTACGTAACTGCGAAACCAAAATGTTCCCAAACCGGAGACTTCAATGATGCTGGAGGATTTTCGAGCTCAACTTTATCTGCGTTCGCCATTAATTTTCGACAGTTCCTCAAATTACTGACTACATTTGAACACATCCCTCTGACCAGCTCTCATAGTATGCCTCTCGTCCAATGAAATGACTTGCTCGCTCTATGACACGTTGAACCCAATGTGAGCAAATTACTCTGAATGCTGCGACGCAGCACCTGAGATTACTTCCAAAAAGTTGTTTAACGTTAACGTTATATTCGTTCTGTACACTTCGGTACACACCTGTACCGAACCGAAGGGCCCGTACCGAATAATTTCGGTACGGGTACGTGTACCGTTACACCCCTATAAAACACTAAACACTCTTAACAGTTATGTATGTGACTATGTGTGTGCGATTTTACTCTCTCCATTCAAAGTCAGCGATGTTGGTGATCAATGAAAGCACCTTCGGATTTACTGACTGCTGTTTCTTTGAAGCTTTCCTCTCCATTTTAGTCTCCTTGTCCGGATTGATTTTGAAAAGGCACCTGTTAAGACAGAAGTACACTTAAATGTAGTGCTACAAACAATAGTTTTTATAATTACAAATTATGTGGATGATACGGCCATTAATTGTCTTCACACTTATACAGCTTGAAGTCAAAGGGCTACTACTCTTAAATTGACTGGTATGATCATATCTGTACATTTAAAGCATTGGTTTGAAAATAGTTCTGTTTCTATAAAGTTGTCACTTGGCATCACTATCACACTGGACACGTAGTGTTGCACGGTGTACCGATACTTGAAAGGTACCGCGATACCCTGCCGTTTAAAAACGGTACGATTCCTCCGTTCATTAGTATCGGTACTTTAAGAATGACGGGGAAAAGTACTCCGGTGAGAAAGCGCCGTTTTAATAAGAGCCGTGTGTGTTCAGCGCTCTGCTTCCACTCCCTGCACTGCAGCCGTGCCTGCAGTCCCTCCCCTCTCAAACACGTTCTAAGTCCCTCCCCTCTCTCGTGCACGCGCTAGCTGCCAGAGCATGTGAGAAAACTAGAAGCATGGCTGCAAGTGGGAGTGCAACTGCCGCTGCGCCTCGGCTTGTTGACAAAAAGACGCCATAAGCGAAATTTGGAAGTATTTGAGCTATATCTCTGACAGTGAGGGCAAGCCTACGGACACCACGAGGCCTGTCTGTGAGAAATGTTTTAGATCCCTGCAAACCAAGGGAGCCAACACATCAAACTTGGCTAAGCACCCGCCGACCGGCATCCAGAGCTGTTTAAAGAATTTAAAGACAGACAGGTTAGCGAATGTGATAGATAACATAATTACATCATGCTCAAGCCCATGCCCTCACATCTAAGTCAAACCAGTGTAATTTATTTTGTGACAAACGAGACAATTAATGGCAATGATAACATCTGCAATATACATTTTGTCAATAATTATTTATATTACTGTTTTACATGTTAATAAAATATAAAACAAATTATATTTTATAAAACAAAAAAGTTGTTTGAGATGATTTTATTTAATACGAATTATTGTCATTTATTTTGTTTATTGTTCTCATTGTTTAAAAATGTGTGTCATGCTCCATAGCAATCCGACAGTAATCCAATGACAGTAACCGTAAATAGTACCAACAATTAGTAATAGTAATAGTAAATGGTAATAGTAAAAAGTAGTAATAGTAAATCAACTGTTTTGCTCCATAGCAATCCAACAGTTATCCAACAATAAATCCCCATACGTGTTTTTTTTACGATGGTATTCCAACAGAAGCTTTCCATTTATTACAACACATTAGGGAGTTGTTGACCTATTACAGACATATGATCTTAGCCCTGATTTCAAGCATTTAAGGACCTCCTGTGCCAAGTTCAACACACTCTAGTTTTCCATAGTCTGTAGGGTAACCATGCTTATATTACCTGATACAGCTCCTACAGGCGCAGCTCGCCATAAAAACACTCATTGTCATGTATCCCCCTTACTCTGTATCTACTATGCTGTGTTTGAGAGAAATGACTCTAGTTCCACAAAGAGCATAAGCAGGCAATGGATAGTAATCCAACAATAGCTCTCCATTTATGCACCTCATGCCCCCACTTGCTGTGTGAATCTCATATAGTCCCAAGTCTGGTAAATATGATGAACCATGAGGTGTTACAAGGAAGTACACATTCTTATTGTCCATTATTAACACAAGTTCTATTTGTGCAAACTCTGTTGGCATGCCAGGACCTATGCACAGAAAGAAGCTCTTTCTGTAAAGAGTGCCTTTCCACTGTATCTCAGTAGACACTACAA